GAGTCTCCTGCCTCAGCCTCCCAAATAGCTGGGACCACAGGCGCCCGCCACAACGCCCGGCTATTTTTTGGTTGCAGCCGTCATTGTTGTTTTGGTGGGCCCGGCTGGATTTGAACTTGCCACCTTAGGTGTATGTGGCTGGTGCCTTAGCCACTTGAGCTACAGGCACCAAGCTAAATAATTTCTTAAAATAAGAAATTGCTGTAGCCATCCCAACCCTCAGCAACTGCCACCATGATCTGTCAGCAGCCATCAAAAACAAGCTCCTCCCCCAATAAAAACTTATGACTCATTAAAGGCTAAGATGATGGTTACCATTTTTTTTTTTTGAGCAATAAAGTATATGAAATTAAGGTATATACAGTTTTAAGACATATGCTATTGTGTTAACAGACTACAGAATGTCATAAACATAACTTTTTTGCCATTTTTTTTTGGGGGGTCGAGGCTGGGTTTGAACCCACCACCTCCGGCATATGGGGCCGGCGCCTTACTCCTTTGAGCCACAGGTGCTGCCCCACGAACATAACTTTTATATACATTGGGAAACCAAAAATTTGTGTAACTTGTATCTTGCTTTAGTTTGCTATTTTCTTTATTGCCGTGGGCACAGTATCTCTGAGGTATAGACTTGACATGTTATTGTAATTGATGTGTAGACACATGGTCTTTCTTCTTCTTTTTTTTTTTTTTTTTGAGACAGAGTCTCACTATGTTGCCCTCATAAAAGTGCCATGGTGTCATAGCTCATAATTCTCTTGCCTCAGCCTTCCCAGTAGCTGGAACTACAGGTGCCCACAACAACGCCTGGGCCAGGTTCAAACCCACCAGCCCTGGTGTATGTGGCCAGCGCCCTAGCCACTGAGCTACAGGTGCCAAGCCCATGGTCTTTCTTTATTAGTCTAAACTAGTGTTTCTCAAAGTGTAGCCTGGGGACCACATGGTGTTCAAATCTTTTTCAAGGTTCCATAAGGTATCTGCCTTTTTCATTTTCTTGCTCTTGTGAGAGTACAATGAATGACATTTTCCTGAAGCTGTACAAGCTGTGATGATATCACTATTCTGACTGTTAGTGGAACACGGGCTTATCTCTTTGAGTTTCAAATTTTCTCAATTTAAATTTCTAATATATATTGAGAGATACGATTCATATGAATTAAAGTTGGTAGGGTCATCAATAATTTTTAAGGGCATAATGGATTCTGAGACCAAAAATTCTACAAAATTCTGATATAAAATCACAGATAGGTGATTATTAATTCAGGGCTGTGCATTCTCAAAAGCTTATTAAGATTTCACCATGGTATTCTCATTAATTTCTACTTGAAACTTAGGGTCTTTGGTTTCAACTTACCCTCTAATCAAAGACAAAAAAGAGATATTTGGGCTTATTTTTCTTTTTATTTCCAAAATTGGTAAGTATAGGGGGCTAGAGAAGGGCTTTTTTTGTGTGCCCACTTTAAGGTTTGAAAAGGTAAACTATAATACCCTTTATTCCTAATGTGAGTTTGGATCAATTGAGAGGTAGCTGGAAATAAAGATGCCAGCTTCATTCTTGAGAAACAAAGCTGTATTGGAGAAATTGGCTTAGCAGCAGCCAAAAGATGAGCTCGCTCCTAAAGAGAATTTATCCCACCCCAAACCAAAAAGTCAGGCCCACTGCGCCAGACTGAGACTAGATGAGAGAGTACACTCTGGGGACCAGCAGATGCAAAGACAGGATCCTCATTTGTAGAATGAGGAGATGGGACATTACCTCTGAAATTTAATGAACTTATTAGTCTGGCTGGCCCTCAACAAATGTGTACTGAATCCAGGGATAAACATCATTAACTATAAAGTGATGTCTTCTTTATGTAAAACAATCCTTTTAAGCAACTGTGCTTAAAAATAAAAAAAGTATAAGATGGCCCTCTCCTGCCTTCCGAATGTTGAGGAACACCAAATCTCAACACTAGATTCTTTTTTTATTCTCTAAGTGACCTCAGTCCAGACAGCTGGCAGGACTTTACCTCCTATAAGACTTCAAATATCATCTTTGTTCTGCATCTATTTCTGGCCCTGACCTTTGCTGATTCCAGATTGTATAGGTCAGATTATCCCCTCTACTTGATGTTATCTCAAATTTACCACTGCAGAAGAAATAATTCTTATTCCCCATTCCCAAACACAGGCACTAATCACCCCACCCCTCCCCACCATCTTCCTCATCTCAGAGAATAGCTGAAGATCTAGGAGCACCTTTGACTCCTCTCTCTCATCCCACATCCAATTAGTCAGCAAGACTGGCCAACTCTGACTTCAAAGTCAATCTTGAATTTGACCATTGCTGACACCCTGGTCCCCTCTCTTCAGAAGTACAGCAGGGGCCTCCCAACCAACCCCATCTTCTCTCTTGCTCCACCCACTTTTGCTTCGTCATATAACAGCCTGAGTCTCACTTTGTCGCTGTTGATAGAGTGCTGTGTCATCACGGCTCACAGCAACCCCAAACTCTTGGGCTTAAGTGATCCTCTTGCCTCAGCTTCTCAAGTAGCTGAGACTATAGGCACCCACCACAACACCTGGCTATTTTTATTTTTGAGACAGGGTCTTGCTCTTGCTCAAGCTGGTCTTGAACCTGTGAGCTCAGGGCAATTCACCCCCATTGGCCTCCCAAGTGCTGAGATTACAGGCATGAGCCACTGCAACCAGCCAGCCTGAGTGATCTTTTAAAAACTGACATTAGAGCTGCATACAGTGGCTTATACCTGAAATCCTAGCATTCTGGGAGGCCCAGGCAGGTGGACAGCCTGAACTCAGAAGCTCAGGAGACCAGCCTGAGCTGTCTCTACTAAAAAAAATAGAAGAACTAGATGGCATTATGATGGCACCTCTAGTCTTAGTCACTCTGGAGGCTGAGGCAAGAAGGTCACTCCAGCCCAAGAGTTGAGGTGGTTGTAAGCTATGACCCCATGGCAATCTACCCAGGGCAACAGGGTGAGTCTTGAAACAAAAGAAAACATACATTAGATATGTTACCTGCTGCTCAAAATTCACCTAAGGTTTCACACCACACTTGGGACACAATCCTCAGTCCTTACACTGCACTTACTTACAGGTCCCTCCTTATTCTTCAATCTTATTCTCTCTACTCTTCCCCAACCTCATTCCATGTAACCACCATGACTTTTTTTTTTTTTTTTGAGACAGAGCCTCAAGCTGTCCCCCTGGGTAGAGTGCTGTGGCA